ATGGAACACAGGGAAAAAAAATCCAGGAAAGATCTTCGGGAATGAAAGAAGCTGGCACTGTCCATAAATCGCCACTGATCTAAAGCAACGTTGCCACCAGAGACAGAAGAGATACAAGCATTGAAGGCCTGCTGAGTCAACAGATCAGACTTCAAAGATAGCTTCTGGAATGAAGAGATTCAAACTTCAAATGAGTGACTTTTTTTTTTAAGCGCACACACACTGCAGTCATGCTCCCGATAGCGTGGAGGCGCGTCTCCGCCACCATTTCTGAGCTAACACTTGGAGATAAGTGCTAACCAAGGCAAGAATGCTATCCACCACGCTCCACACTGCCCCCATTGTCTGCAGCCTCCCCCTCCTCAGCAAGAGTGGGAACCAGTTAACCCAGAGAAAGCCCTCCTGACCCGGCCTTGAGAAAACAAAGACGCAAGGGGACGGATTCCGCGTTATTTATTATTAAATACTTGCTCTGAGCGTTGACTGTCACCCCTCGTATAAAGGCCAAAAAAAAAAAAAAAAGCAATGAACCCAGATGGCGTGTGGCGCTTTCTGCTGAAATAGCTACCTGACGGGCATGCTCCAACAGAACCAAAGTTCATGACCTTAACTAAACTACTTCTACGGAGCAGCTTTTTCCTGCTCGTTAATTTTGCAACACATTGATTTACTCCATTGTCTGGGGATGTGTATTATTATATTAGAAAAGAAGCAGGTTAAGGAATTCCTTATGAGTGTGTAAATAAGATCTCTCTCTCTTCCTTGGGAGGCCGTGGCTCATCTAGCTCATGTCCACACTGCTGAGAAATGGGACTAACTAAAGGCTTCGACTTGGGTATAATTTGCAGACTCTCCGGTGGTTGCCTTCAGTTAATTTCAGTATTCACAATGCAGGCTTAGCTTTATTCATTAACAATAACTTCTTTTAAAAAATGAAGTTATTCTGCCTTAGGGTTGCAGTGCTGATGTTTCTCTGTGCCAGATATAGCCTCAAATATATGTCAATCAATTCCTTATGTCCAAAAGAAGAAAAAAAAAGAAAGAAAAGAAGAAGCCCATGAACACGACAGCAAGCAGTACCTTTAGCAGTAGTAGAAAGCAACAATCCGGTTTTTAAAATCTGAAAGATCTAGAAAACAGTGCCCTGAGAACACCTGTCTGTCTGAGGTCTACTTGGAAAGGACAGGCTGAAAGGCACCAGTTTAAAAGTGCACACGTTAGTAAGTGGCATATTAAAACCTGCCCAAGAGAATATTGTTCGTGTCTCCATTATCCATGCTTTAAGTGCAAACAATCGGTACAGTTATTAGAGAAACAATTTTCACAAATGGCTTGCATTGAAACATTCCAAGAAGGAACTGCCAGGGAAGGACAGCCAAGAATTAACAGGCAGGGGCTGTCTTGAAAGACAGTGACAAAGTCCATTGCCAGCCTTTTCCTATGCATTCCTTAGTGCGTTTTGGAACCCTGGAGTCTGAGGCAGAAGGTATGGAAGGGTTCCAAACAGCAGACCGGCGGAGCGTTCTTTAGTCTGTGTGCACGGGCACTGGTTAGCATGACACCGGTACAGCTTTGCTCAGGACCCTCAGCTGTGAGATAGCAGGCCAGGCTGTGTTCCAGCCTCCTGGGTTTACCCCAGTGTGATCCAGCACCATGGTGGCATGTGTGGGCATCCTCAAAGTGAGGGATTGAGGCATAATCTGAGCCCACAAGGTGGGCCTAGGAACGAAAAAGAAGAGACAAGGGCATGCCGTAGAAAGAGCCCGCCTCAAGAGCTAACTCAGGAGCATCAAGTGATACTATAAGGAAATGGGGAGACGTCCAAACAGGGAAGGTGGCCACTGTTCTCAAGCTAGTCTTTCCAGAAAAAAGAACCATCAGAGCGGTGCTGAGGACGGAGAAAGGATGGACGGTTGACCCTCACCAAGGTTAGGAAGCAGAACTATTGCCAAAACTAATCAAAATGACACATCTGAATAGTTGAACCCAATGCTATTTGATTCAAACACAGACCTGGATTTTTTTTTTTAAAACAGTCTAGAGACAATATAGTTTTGGAAAGAGCCTTCCCTACATAACTCTGTAAATAGTAGTAATAATAGCGTTGATAATAATGACACACATAACGTTTATCATGGCCTAGCTATATTTAGTATACTCCTGAAATCTTTTCCTACATTTATTTAGTTAACCATGGACATTCCTTCCAGGTAGATGCTATTACTGCTCTTATTTTACAGACAGTAAAACTAAACCACAGAAAGCGTACATGATTTACCACAGCTGGTGGCGGTGAGGCTGCAGAATTAGTTACCTGAAGGTGTAAGGCATGGCTTACATCGCTTTCGTGTAAGGTTACTGTAAACGATAAGGAACATCCACAGGACCTTCTGGATGAACTGGTGCTTCGAGCATCATCATGATGGAATAAGTAATCACATGCACACTCAATTGTGCTAGCACATGAAATGGCACAATTCTAAGAACAACACATGGCACTCCATGCCTGTTTCACACCCTGGAGGCAGGTATGCTCAAGGTCGGGAGAGTAACTAAAACTACGGGCTTTATACATCACGTCTAGGCAACAGGAAAGAGTAACAGATGGCACAGGCGTTGTGGGGGGCAGGCAGTTATGTTTTAATATGCACATCCTCCCTGCTAACTTACAGTGGCATTTTATTGCCCTGTGCTTAGGAAACACAGCTACAGAAATGGAAACAGTATCTTTGAAATCCGAGAGAACAGCATGGAGTAGGTGTACGCCTGCTAAAATGAACACACCGCTTACCAAAATGAACATTCTGCTCACAGATGTTTTCCTGCACTTGCAATAACCAACTATGAGTTTAGCACATTATTTTAAGAAACACAGCAGCTTGGGCTTTCCTTTGGGCTGTGCTAGAGTTTGAACCGAAGCCTTCTGCACGCTAGACAAGCGCTCTACCAATGAGCTACATCCACGGTCCTGGAAACACAACACTTATTATCCAGTACTTAGGGGACAACTCACTTTAAAGTTCCCATTTCAGTCAGAGTCAGTTAGTTGTCAAATAGTCCCTGTGGAAACAACAGGAACATTGAATGATCTAATACTTTGAGACCCATGACCAGGTTCAAAACTACAAGCACCCCACTAGGTGTGGTTGGTACCTATGGTCCAAGCACCTCAGAAAGCTGAGGCAGGGAAAGGACTTGAACCATAAATTCAAGACCAATCAGGGCAACATTATGAGACCCAGGCTAGCTATAGTACACACACACACACACACACACACCACATACACATACACACACATACATACACACCACACATAACACACACACAAACACCACACACCCCACAGGCAGTTAATTAAATGCATGATTTGTAGGTCAGGATTATTTTATTACTACTAAGTCATGCCATTTCACCAAACATCCAGGCCACATACAGGGAACAAAACTCCCAGGGATGCTCGTTAGGAAAGGTGTGGATTGGCAAATCTAGACTGGATAGGAGCGATTCAAAGGCCCTGCCTGAGGCGGTTTTCTGAAGCATCTCAAAGCAGGAAAGCCTCCACGCTGTCCACTTTCTCCAAACACCATTCATAACTACCCAGGCCAGGCGCCCAGCCCTCAGGGGAGCGGAAAACATTCAGGGCACTTCTTTAATCTAAGACTTTCAATTTCTTGAAACAATAAACCGAGGCAAGCTGCTTTCTCCACCCTGTGGGAACCATGAGTTGGTCACTTGCAACAACTCCCCAGACAAGGAGTTGGACTCTCAGAGTCAAAGGCTTCCCTCCCAAAGGCTGGCCCTTTCTTTCCCAGATAACTATGTAAATTCCCCTCTCCAGCCCCCGCTCAGAGCTAAGCAGCCGCCTGGCTATTCAAAGCTGTGTTTCCAGCTCGGTCCAACGCTTTCATCATGAATGCATGAATGAATGGGATGCTCACAGCCTGCATAGCTCACAGCTCCGCACAATGCCCAAACACACATTTTTCCCAGGAGGGCATTTCGAATTCGGCCTTCTACTTTTAACCTGCGCTCTTAGAGTGCAGTCTGTGTGGGAACACACTCGGTGTCACTTGTTGCATACATTGAGATGTTTTCAGCAAACATTTGTCACCATCTAGCTAAGCAGAGGCTTGAGGACAACTCTGGGTGGCACAGTCAATCCCCCCCCCACCCCGCCACCACCCACCCTCAGTGCCCACTGAAAATTCACTTTGGGTTGGGTTCTCAAACCTTGCAAAGAAAGCTACTGGTCCCGTGCAGAAAGAGCACACTCTACGTCCTTTCTAGCCGCTCTCCCCACCCCCGGGGTGTAAACACCCGTGGGAAATCCATTTGGTCACTTGAGGGACTGCACAAAGAGCATGCTTTTAAGAACATATGTGTCCTGGACGCCATATGCGAGCCCCAGTTGTCCAGGGCCGCTGACCTTGGGACCCGTTCTCCATCAGTCTTTTCCCACTAGACCACCCCGGACGCCAGTGGCCCAGAGGGGGCCGCCTTTCTCCTTCCATGGTCTCTCTCTGAAGCACAGGACAATGAGGGGAATGCAGGAGAACTCCGTTCCCATTCATTCCAGGAGTGGTGCACACAGTCAACCAGCCGGGCGGTCTCCGCCAGTCACAACCACTCAGGTGTTGGGTGAGGAGTCTGTGGCCCTTCTCACGTCCCAGACGCCCCACTCTAGCCATCCACTGCACTGCTGGAACTCAAGGTCCCGCGGAAGCTAGAAAGCGGGGGACCCCCACCCCCAACCCCTGCTTCCCCCGTTCTCTGAGCCAGAGGAGACCAAAGTCGAAGGCTCCGGGAACAGCCACCGTCCTCGGGGACCGGGGGACCGCCTCCGCCGGTGTCCCAGCCCCGTGCAGCCCGCAGCAGGTCCGCGCGGCGCCAGGGTGCGTGCGCCCACCCCAAGCCCGGAGCGCCGCGCTTTGTCCCGCGGCCCCCGCACGCTCCCGCTCGCCAGCCCCCGGGTCACCCGTGTTCCGGCCGCGGGGCTCACCTCTCTGCTGGCTCTGCACGGTGACCCAGAGCACTGAGGCCAGGAGCAGCAGGAGCGCGGCTCCCTTGCCGCCGCCGCCGCGCATATCGCCGGTGCCGCTCCCTGCGCTCCCGGGGAAGGCTGCGACCACGCTCGCTCGCTGGCACTGCGCGAGTGTGAGCTTCCTAGACCGACCCTCGCCTGGTGCGCAGGCCCCTCGGACACACCCCCACCGGCCTAGCTGCGCCCCGCCCCGCCCCGCCCCGCCCCGCCCCTGTCCCTCCCGGGGTCCCACCCCCAGGAGGCGCCCTCCTTGGCCCGGATCCTTTCACTCGGAGGGTCTGTCCTCCAGGGGGAGCCCCGCCCTGCCCAGGTCCCTCCTGGGGGTTCCTCCCCTAAGGGGCGCCCTGCCTTCCCCAAGTCCTGCTTTAGGGTGCCTCGCCCAGGTGGCACTCTGACCCTAGACTCCAGTTGGGGTGAGCTGCTGCAGCAGGGGTCCAGTTGGGAGGGAGGTAGAGAGAGAGAAGCCAGGGAGAAGAGACTTTCTGCTGAGCCTGGGCCTGGAGGGCAAATACCAAGAAAGTATTTGCCCTGTTGACCCTTTTCCGTCTGTGGGACCTGTGCAGTCTTGGTCAGTCTCCGGCCGCAAAACTGTTATCAGGACACAGTCCATCTTTGCGGTACCCGGTGCCTGCAGAAAAAGCTCTTAAAGTTTTAGTTTGGGGTGGGTTTTGGTTTTTTTTCCTTCAGAAAATGAGTAGTAACTTGTTTGCTAACTTGTTTGCCTAAGGAAGGCACAGATGGTCGCCAAGTGACCTTAACAGTAGGTATATTTATATTACTGAAGAAAGGGAGGACTCCAGGTCTCAACGTTGATTTTGGAAAAACTACATTCAATCCTAGAAAGAAAATTAATTTAGTTTCCTCGCAACAGTGTTCACAGCGCATTTCCACACTATAAGCATATACTATAATGTCTTACACAATCCCAGCACTCTTTTCTCTTTCAGAGAGGGAGATTTGTTTTTTTTTTTTAGTCAGTTGTTTAAATTAATTTGAAACCTCTACCAACTCCAGTATTCCTACGCACAGGTCCTTAGCCACTTAATGAGTAAAATTTAATGAGAGTACATGGCTATTAATTGTTAAAAGGAAGTACAAAACAAGCCTGTAGAGTTTGCGTCTCTAAAAAAGATATACTGGGGCTGGAGAAATGCCTTGGTCACTCAGAGCTCTCGCCCTTGCAGAGGTCAGAGTTCAACTCAGGCTCATGATCGTCTGTAACTTCAGTTCCAGGACCTAAACTCCCTCTTCTGACCTCTGAGGCACTAAGTAAGCATGTATGTGGTGTGCGAACACACGTGCAGGCAAAATATTCATACACATATGGCAACGTATTCATACACATAGAAGAGAAATGCACTGTAGCTCAGTGATGCCACTCACCACATCACTCAATTTTAAATCTGGAGGTTCTTAACTATTTAAATATTAAAATGAATGCCTAATTGTTAAAGAAATTATTTTAGGCAAATTAAGTTTTTAAAAGTAATTATTCAAGCATTAAGCATTTAGAACATCACAACTGTTTCTACACTGGAAATAACTGCCTGCAGAGGCTTATGCGTTAGATACAAGCACAGGGTCTCCTGAAGTACATTCAGCTGTTATCTCCTGCGACTTTTGTCTATGTGTTTATGGAGGGAGGGGGCAGTTAGCAACTCTCCTGTGAGAGAGGAAGTGAGTTCAGGCCTGTCTTAGGCACTTGTGTTAGGTCTGGGGCTAGAGTTCAGATCTGATATCTAGCCCAGTTTCCTGTACCTCATAACACTGAAATGTTGGAGGACCAGATGTTAGGCCAGAAGGTCCAGAAAGCTTCCTCGAACCTTAATGCCTACAAATAGGGTCTTCAGGTCAATTACACCTTGTGCTTGAGCAACAGACAGGGAGCTCAGGCTTGTGCTTTCAAAGAAGGGGTCGGTCGGCACCTCTAGGGAGCAGATGGAAGCATCAGGAGTCACAGGTCATGATTTATCACTGCTCAGAATTAAGCAGGGGTGTTTCAGCAAACGAGGATTTCACAGTAACACACTTGGATAAAATGGAATGGTAAAAAAAAAAAATCTTAATTCCTAATGTTTTATAAAAGTTTACAGTACAGATTTTTCCACTCTTTACTATGCTTAGAAGAAAAAACCTAAATCACCTCCAATCCCATGAGAGTGGGTTGACCTGTTCAGTGCAGAAAATGAGTTCAATAAAATGTCTGACTTTTCTGAGAGCCTATGAACTCTTCCTCCTTGGACCAGACACTAGCCCTGCCTCCTGTCCATCCCCAGCTACGGACCACTTTTGGAGGATGGAAATGCATTAAGAGCCACCTTGTTGTCTGGACTGCAAGGCTACTCAAGAAATAAAACACTATCCGTGTCCAGGCATGTTGTAGAGACTTTTATAAAGGTCACCTGGCCTTATACCTAGAGTGGCCAGGCTTTCCCTGTGCAGTTAGCAAAAGTAAACCACCATGTGTTTCCAGCAGATGATCCATCTTTCAATGAAAAGCACAGATGTGTGAGTCTCTCTCTCTCTCTCTCTCTCTCTCTCTCTCTCTCTCTCTCTCTCTCTCTCTCTCTCTCTTTGAGACAGGGTTTCTCTGTGTAGCTTTGTGCCTGTCCAACTCCCTTTGGAGACCAGGCTGGCCTCGAACTCACAGAGATCCGCCTGGCTCTGCCTCCTGAGTGCTGGGATCAAAGGCGTGCACCACCACTGCCTGGTGTGTTAGTCTTAATTAACTAATGAGGTAGTTACTCTATGGGAATCATTTTCAAAGGAAAAGAAGAGCTGAGTCTTACACCAGGTTGCAGCCATGATTGACACACTTCTTTCTAACTCATTCAGACCCACTTCCTTTAATTACGTTCCATTTACATATTTAGTCCTCGCTTTAGCAGTTTTTTTAAAACAAGCTTTCTCTGTATCTGGATATACAAAATAATATCCATGACTTTTTCTTCGCCTCAGAGGTTGGGGCTTTATTTTGTTTTGATTTGGAGGGGTTTATTTGTTTGTTTTGTTGTTCCTTCCTTCCTTCCTTCCTTCCTTCCTTCCTTCCTTCCTTCCTTCCTTCCTTCCTTCCTTTCTCTTTTCCTGAGACTAGGTCTTTGCCATGTAGCTTTGGCTGGCCTTGAACTCAGAGCATCCATCTTGTTTCAGCATGCCACGTGCTGGGGTTATATCACCATCCTTCAACTTTGCCTCTTGAACTCTGTCTTAATTTTGCTTCCCTGTCTGGACAATTTTACCCTTAAATAAAAAATTTTTACACTTAAATTTTTATTGCACTCAAATAAAGTTCCATTTATTTATAAGAGAACAGGACAAAGTAGGTACAAACACAGGGTCAGGAGGTTCTCCTGCCCTGCCTGGGCCAGGACTGCATTTTCTACTGAGGATCCTTCTCAGCATTCCATTGAGACCTTGTGTTTGACCGTAACTCTTAGAGAATGCTTCTCAAGATACTGCAGAGCCTCTCCATTGTCTTGGACATCAGTGGGATGGTCCAACCACACACCCATATTCTCTATTGTCTGATAGTCTCACCACACCCACATACTTTTTGATAGTTGTCTCCCCTTTCTTGGCGTTGAGGTTACCAGAAGAATACTCAGTTCCCCACCCTATTCCCTCTCTGGCCACCACCCTCTGTGGCTTGATGAATGGATCACTAACTGAGACTTTTGTTTAACCTTTAGGGCTGTCTTGGTTTCTCCTACCTTAAGTTCACAAGCCAGGAAACTTTCCTCTTTCTTTAACTCCCTTGTGTTTATGTCACTCAAAATGGAGTCCTGATGCACCTTTAAAATATTTGTGTATCTATCTTCCATTAACCACCATAGGACATGTCATGGACAATCTGCTTTCTTATGGTTCATTATTCCTTAAGGAATTTAAAAATAATTTTATCTTATATATCTTAGATTCCAGAGTATAGTATACAAAATGTATTAATCAGAAATAAACACAAAGTTTACACAAGAAAAGAATAGGAAAAGTGACACAAAAAAAATCACAGGCTGCTTGTGACAGACAACAGCTTGTATATTTGCTTGATGGGTCTTTATAAAATTATTTAAGTTTTGATCTCATTTGTAACATGCTGTGGGGGGTTAAAAATAAGATCAACAGAAGGATGGAGGGGCAGGGATGGGGAGGAGGGAGGGAAACATACTGAATGTAAAATCCTAGCACAGAACCTGGTATCCAGCAAGCCTTTGGTAATTAGTTCTTCCTAGCTCACCCTCATAATCATAATCACTTGGATTAGGAAGCAACATGGGGCAGTGTTAGGACACTGTGATGTCATCTGTAATGCAAGTGGGCAGATTTGCAACATATGGTTCTTAAAGAAAGCAGGCCACAGGTAGAGACAAACTATTATCAGGTGTAGCAATGCATGCCTCCAGAACCCAGGAGGCTGAGGCAGGAAGATCTCAAATTCAAGACCAACTTCTCTTACATGGTAAAGACCCTGTCTCCATAAAATAAAATAATTTCTATCTCCTTATTTAGTTGTATGAATGGAAGCCATGAGATCCGGAGGAGAACAAGAAGGAAAGATCATCTCTGAAAGCTAAGTTACCAATGGAGGTTACCATAGGATAGCAAACAGCTATATCAAAAAAGCAAGAAGATTAAAAAAATAATAATTTGGCAGGGAACTGGTCATTAGGAAACTTGATGTGTGTTTTCCTTTTATAAAAGAAGGGGAAGCCAAATTGATGGGGTTCAAGACAGCTGTTCATAAGGACATATAAACAACAATTGTCCCCTGGACTCTGCAGGACATTCTCTGCCTGCTGGGTGTCTGGGACAATAAAACTCTTCACCAGAAAAACCAAAGTTTGCAATAGCAGCAGCACGTTAGATGTGTACCTGGGTACTAATGACCTGAAATGTCAGAATATTGGCTTAGAAGCTCAACCTGGCTTGTCATTGTATAATTTAATCTGTCTGCTACCTTGTTGGGAAGAGAGATTTGGAAACCATCCGGCTGCTTCCATGTATTCCTAATAAAGACAAATATTCTAGAACTGTTGGTTCTTTGAGAGTCTTTTATCCAGAAGCCATCAAAAATCCACCAGAGAGTCCAGGGGCTT